AGTAACCTGATGTGTGTGTGTGTGGTGATTGACGGTTTTAACATTCTGGGCAGGATTTTCTGCGTGTGTCACCTAGAAATATATTACAATAAGATCATGTATCTGGATAAGAAAAAGAAATATGCAGCGTTTAAATGTCTGCATTTATGATATTAAGGCCCTCAATTATCACCAAAGTTCTTGCTCAAAAATCCAGGTATAAAATCCAACAATGTTCAGTCAGGTCATCTGAACGGTTTCTTTTTTGTCCGTCATCTTCAATCTGAGGAATCGCCAAACAAAACTCATTCTCCACCAACAGCATACTCCAGAGTGGGGGGGGGAACAGTTTGCTGGCACTAAGATGGCCTCCGGGGCACACCCTCTATTGTCCATTGGATGACGGACGAAACGTCTCGGCGCAAAAAAGAAAACGTCCAGATGACCTGACTGAACATTTTTGGGTCCTGATTTACTGTTGAACAATTTTGAAAAGTTGGTATCCCACGACCCAAAAATGAAGAAGCGAGTAAATTCAATTCAGTTTTTTTTTATATAGTGTCAAGTCACAACAGAAGTCATCTCAGGGCACTGAACAAACATTTGTATATAAAAATAATTTAATACCATTTTATCTGAGGAGCAGACTACTTTGACTTTAACTCCATCGCAGAACTCTCATCTTGTCATGAAGGTGACGGTGGAAAGGGAAAAACTCATGAAGAAGAAACCTTTGGCAGAACCAGACTCAGGACAATGGATGGATATCTATCTCAAAAAATTGGCATACTACATATTTTTCTAAATTACCATAAAAATTCCAGCAAATGTTTTTTGGTAAATACTACAAGCTTTTTCAGTGGTTAGCACATTTATCACTTACATTTTTGTTAAATATCTTGTTAAACTTTTTTTTTTTCCTCCCCAAAGATTGAGTTTACTTCTGAAAGCCGTACTATCATATTATCTGCCATTTCCACATTTTGTTGGTGAAAACAATTATGTGCTGATGTATCAACCGGGTTGATTTTTGGAAAATGGGTACAGTAGTTGAAAACGGCTCATAGTCTTATTGGCTTTTTGAAGATGTCTTTTAGCAACTTCAGGAAAATGAAGCAGCTTTTCTTAGACCAAAAGTTCAGTTAAATGCCCTGAATATCTCTGATAGGAAGTAAACAATTAGAAATTTGTTGTGTACTTGTCCTGTTTATGTTGTAGCCTAAAGGTCACTGTGTGGTGGTCATAATTTCTAAGTGTTTTTGACATTTTGCTTTGGTTCAATGAAAATAGGAGTGAGAAAGCATAATTCTTTTAAACATCATCTAGTAGAACACAACTCCAACCTAAATTATAATCACAGAACAAGGTACGGTATATCTGTTTGACAGTGTTTCAAAAAAATTGAACCTTTATAACATTTGTAACTAATTGAATTATGATACAGTTTTAAAAGTGAATTAAGGGTTTATCATTTCCCATGTCTTGTGAAGGAAATGTGCTCACATAGAATTCTTTTTTATGTTGAACTAGATCAGAGCAAAGAAAGAAGAAGAAAATTGATCCAAGGCGGGAGCAGTTGATCAGAGACCGGCTGAAGAAAAAGCTAAAGAAGCTGGAGAAGGTTCCAGCTGAGTTTATTCCTATTGAGGACTTTATTGTTCCCGCCAAACTTATGAATGAAACAAGGTAACTTATTTCAGTTGTTGGTGATTTGCAAGTGATCGTGTCCCCCTAGCATTAGATTTAATTCCTATGTAATGAAAAATTGCTTATTGTAATAAAAGTTATGGCTTTGTCATTTTATCCTTTAGTTTGTTCTGGATTAATTTCTTCTCATGATTATAAGTTTTATCAATTATTTTTAAATTATTTTGAAGAGAGCGCAGTGAATCAACGATATCCTTTGAAGAGAGTGAACGGCGAGCCGGCCTGCTGAAAGAATGGAATCTATACAAAAAGGTTACCATTTAGCAGCACTCCTTCAACCTTAAAGAATTAATCTAAAATGTTACTTCTGACTTCTATCCATCCTTTAATACACGTGCATTTATGTCTTTGCTCTTACAGAGGCAGCACATGGCTGAAATGGAGGCTATTAAACTTGCTTTGGAGGCACAGAGGCAGGCGCTGGAGGAGCTCAAATTAGAGTCCGAGGAGCTGTTCCACGCAGCACTGACGCCAGATCCACTTCTTTTTCCTTTCACATATGAAGGTCCTGTTTATACACCTCCCATCTCAAATTATTATGCTCCTGATGGAAAATACAATGACATCACTAAAGTGTACACTCAGTGAAACCCAGAGAACAGCTGGAGCGCAACCTCTGTATATTGTTTGAATGTTGGCTCTTGTTCAAATGTAATTCGGGGAACCAAGATGACCCCTGCAAGTATGAGAATGACAGTAAGTTTTTGTTTATTTCAGATTTGTTTTGAACTTTGTCACAACAATCTTTTCTTTTTATTCTGCTGTTTAAAAAGGAAAACTGAATAAAGTCATTTTTATTAACCCAGTTCAAGTTTTTTTGTACATATTTAGGAATTTCTGATCATTTTAGTGTTGAATCCACACAGCTGAATTCAGTCAATAAATGGTAAATGTACTGTACTTGTATAGCACTTTTCGATCTAATCAAGATACTCATAAAGCGCTTTACAATACAATCTATGGCCTCATTTACCTCCACACACAATTCATACAGCACTTTTATTACATCTCTACAAAGCTCATCTGAATCTGTAAATGCATAATTAATACACTCAGAAGCATTAATACATCATCAAGAACTGTATTTTCCATCATTACACCATTAACATGGCAAACAGTTGAAAAATAGTGAAATGCTTCCCAGCTGATCTACAGCTTGAACCCAGCTTAAGCAAAATGTTGATTCAAGTGCAATGTCAAATTTTATCCACTAAAAAGCATGGACTTTGTTGTCTATCCACTAAAGCGCAACCCAAACCTCTCACTACTATATTTTCACATCAGTATAAACCTAATAAGTTAATTTAGTAGTGCATACACTCTGTTTTTAACAAATTGTGAAAGTTCATAAAGCAGTTCAGGGTTTCTGTGGGCTTTCGTGGTTCAAGGGCAAATACCAGTCTCTTGGAGGCTCCTGCCTCAGTTTCCACACTGGAGTAAAGTTTTTTTGCTCTGCCACTCGATTCCTCTCGCTTTTCTGCAGCGCGTCCTGCAAAATATATATATATATATATATATATTTAGAACATTGAGGCCATAAATGTACAGTAAGTCTTTTGAGAATGTCTTCTTTCAGCTGCACCTTAGCTTCTGCATGTTTGTGTTTCTCCCACTTGGTGCAGTTATAGGAGTCCTCTTTCCACTGCTGACAGGAAGGAGAGGTACCGTAGACATAATAGTGGTGAAAACGATTGCTGAAACTCACGCAGTGTCTGAACTCGCTCAAATAGTCTTCACATGGTCGTGGTGGCTGCAAGGACAATGAAAAAGTTAAGCTTTCAGGTCTCTCTTGTAAATGAGTCGAGGCTCAATGGGATTAACCTGTCTAAATAAAGGTTGAATGAATGCTCCTAGATAAACTCACGGTCTTGACTGACTTAAAATTTTTTGAGGGTAATAAATAAATGATTGAAATTGAAATAAATTATAAACACCAGTACTAAAATCTTCAAGAATAAATATTTTGATATTGTGAGCTCACTTTAAAAAAAGACAAATAATATATAGAAATACAAATATTAATCAGTATATTAGTTTGAATTCCTTTCGTTACTTTGTTTTTATTGAAATTTAATTTTATATTTTGGCATTATGAGATTAAAACTTTTAATTTGGTAAACAGAGCCTCCTTCCGGTCGTTAGCTTAGCTGAACATTCCCCGCATAATGTGAATTTTTACAAGATATTTGCAAATATGAAAAGCAAACTCGAATCTCAGAGAAAATATTACATAAGTGGTTGCCACATTTCTGGTCTTGTTTTGACGAGATTAAGCTAATATTAATTTACAATCGGTGAAGGCTGATGATTTTAGCAGCAAAAGCTAATCACCTTACCAACAGTTTCAATAACATTTTAACGTTCTCTAACTTTATATTAGCAAAGCGGAAAAAAACAAAACAACAGAAACGAGCATACATTGTTAGAAATATTAGAAATATAAATGTATGAATTACCCTCCACGTTCTTTTTGACCCCCAGTCCATCTCCAGCCGAATGAGTCCAGAGAAGCTTTTCCGGTTACATTTGATGTCAAAGTAAAAGCACCAACGTGATTCCAAAGCCCTTATTTTGAAAAAAAACCTCATGACCCAGCGCATTGGAACAATATATATATATATATATATATATATATATATATATATAT